CATAGCAATCCGTGTAATAAACACGTGTAAACGGCCCACGTGCCGCGAGCTCGCACGAATCGCTCGTATTTACTCATGTGTGCTTGAACCAACATAAAGTCGCGAATTATAATATACGAACGGATGCGCACACATGCCGTGATATTACATAAGTTTCGTGTCAATGTATGACGATTCGCAAGCAAAGATTCACGCTCGTGCGAAAAAGCTTCAAAAATTTTTTTTTATTAACATTTCCTTAAATACATTATATTATATTATATATATTTTTTTTTTTACCTGAGGATGATTATTTCTAGCGCGAGTGAGGTCCGGGACAACCGAGGACCGCTTATTTTAATCACGTCAACCGTACGCTCGACAATCGAGAACAAGTGGCTGGCTGTCGCGTACACTCTCATCGTACATCATCGATTGTACATATATATGTACGTTGGATCGTTTCGTTCGAAATTATTACGCGCGTATTTATGTCATTTTTTAAGACAAATCCCTTGGGAAATCATTTTCAATTTTTCGACCGCATACAAGTCAGAACTCACTTTTTGGATTTTTACTAAATTGCACGTTACATAAATTTATACGGAAGTTGAAAATTACTTTAAATGCCGTCTTGTTTTCGTAAGAGGACAAAGGTTAAAAAGCACTTTCTTTTTTCTCGCGGAGAATAATTCATTATCGAAGTTAATGCCATCGCAGGTGGTAGGTAGCAGGTGCAGGTGCCGCGTAATGCATAAGTGGGTGGCGACGGGTGGAGAGTCCCTTCGCCTCGTGACATCCTTTGTATTTGTGACGGGACTCAATAGGATATCGATTACACTCTCGAGGCGAGGTCAAAGCCGGCGCAATAAACCCCAAGCGAAATTTGTATTGAGCATTGTGCCGTCGCCCGAGGTGTCTACGGAGTGTCGAAACGGTGTTGACCGATCTATAGACACCTCGTGCTACAATGCTATTTAACTGTAATAACACTGGCACCGCGTCGCGTGTACGGCGCGTGTTTATATACATTAATATAGAATGTTCGAGGCCTGGCCGTCAAAGTGACCCAGCGTTAAGTGTCGTGAAGCGAAGAGGAAAAAAATTACGTTTAATCAAAACGTTTGCCAAGAGAAAGATCAACTTTGAAAACTTTCCAGATATCTAAAAGTGAAATGTGCCGAGTGTATCGCGGACATCCTGTGTGCCCGCTAAAATTTCCATGCCACTTGCCTGAGGTGTCGACCTTTAATTATATATGCGTGCGATAGCAACTGGTAATGTCCCGTGTTTAATAATACGAACGTGTTTCTTCTATTTAATGCATAAACATATCTACTTTCGAGCACAGTCGTATATCGTAGTGGATACCGCGCGAAAGACAAACATGCCATCGCAATGACATCGCGAAAATCAGAATGAGGCGTATAAAAGTGCGCACGTAACAATATGTGCGCAATGATAAAACGAACGATGGAACGCACTCTCTCTCTCTCTCTCTCTCTCTCTCTCTCTCTCTCTCTCTCGTCTCTGTCTCTTGACCCCGTGAAACTTGCGAGAAGTCACCTCTTCGCCGCGGCTCGCTGCAGTCGAAATCAGGCGCGACGCAGACACTTGCCGCGCCGGCGGCAGGTTTGAGAGAGTAAAAGTAGTCGGCCGAGGAGATGAGATATGTAAATGAGCGCGTAGAACACTTAAGTAGCAACAGGCGATAGGTACTATCTCGATTATAGCTATCGCGGGGAGGGCAGACACGATCTAATTAAAACGCTCGTTTTCTGCACGCTTTCGTGTCGGCCAGTTTGTGATAGTGGCATAAAGCTGCGATGCCTCTCGACGATAAGATTGATGATTGCTCCGAGATCAATAACTATAGTATTTACGAAGCTGTATACCGTCTGTAATGAACGTCGGTTATAAAACGGTCAATAATGTTTCAATCGGTGTAAGCCAACTACTGTATAATAGATTTTTTGATAATTATTAAAGTGTCGGGGAGGGAACAATAAATTGATGAAATAATGGAAAAATTAACGAAGCATCAAACAATGAATTAAACTCAAGTGAATAAAAAATAGAAATAAATTCAACGAAATAATAAAATATTGTTCGGAGTTAAATAGATGTGTTTATCCGCAAACATCTCGAGCTATATTTTTCCGCAAATATCTCGACATATAGTTGTACTGACCACTTACTAATTATTGTATTAACCATTCAGGCGTGCTGAAGTCATTGGAAAACGCTGACTACTGATTTTATCGTTGAATAATACCGCGGTTGAATTATGCTAACAGCCCTTCAGTTATCTCAATTAACTTTACGTCTCATTAATGGTGTCAACAAGGGCACAGATTTGCGCGAGAAAACAGCACGTCGAATCGCACGTGCGGCAGTCTGGTCTTTCATTTATATATTTTTTTTACGACCCACACAACTGCTCACGAAACGCAAGCGCGGCATTATCGATGCATTTAACACTGTAGATGAATATTGGATTCAAGTACGTCACGATTAAGCGGCGAGCATTGACGTTAACATACGATTAATCGTATTGAGATCAACAGTGTAAACAGTTTATCGGAACGATTTTTCAATTTGTTTTTTCAACTTGCGAAAAGTGGAAAGTAGTATACAAACATTCTTTCTTCTACGAAAATCCATCCGTCACGATAAACAACGAAATAATACATGAAATAATACTTATAGTTCTTTAACGTGCTTTCAATCCACTGCTAAGAAAATCTTAATAATATTGTTAGTAATTTTGATGTAATATTCTTATGTTACAGAAATGATAAATAACAGATTCTCTATCGCGAAGAATTTAATAATAAATTTGATATAATAATATAATGCGAGCGGCAATATTAATAAATTTAAAAAATTAATAAGGAGGCAATATATAATAGTTAGATAATTAAATTCTGTTATCAAATTAATCTTTTAAGTATTATCTAAAAAGTGTTACGTTAAATGAGCTGTCACTCCGGTATTCAGTTATACTTTTCGTAGTTAGATAGGATCTCGTTTTTACTCCTTTCACTCCTGTTATCATCCGAAAGTTTAGTATTTCATTGACTTCATAGACTTCTGTGTTATCGTTTTTGCGAGAAACATTTATAATGGCATGTGATATCAAACGTTATAGATAAACGTCTCATTAAATAAAAAACGTGATCGTACATCGTAATCATTCTTTTTTCAATCGTTTCATTAATACATTTAGACGATAAAATATCATTTCGTTTTCGTGTGATGTGTTTTCATGCCGATTTTTAGTATATGTATCTACTATCTATATACAAATCATCAGGTTTCGGTCTTCCGCCGGCGCGGCGCGGCGTTAAGTTAAATCGGCGCATCGCGCTGATTCCGCTGTTCCGAGCGTCGTTGTTTACGCGTAGATGCTCAGCACCGATTTCAAGCTCGGTCAAAGGGGGTCGTCTGTTACCCGGGATCGTATCACTGTGGCAGTGCGTGTGTGTGTGGCGACCCACGCTGGCGCCGTTGCAGCCACAGTCGCCGTCGCCGCCGCAGCCTTCTGCCTCGCACTCTCGAGTTTCCATTCTCTCTGTCTCGATCGAGATCGCTATACTACCTTCGGCGCGTCTAGTAAAAATGCCCGGACTATCATCCGGTATCTGGTATCACCGGCATCTACGCGTAAATAGCAGTAGTCCGGTCGCAATTGTGAATAAGTGAATACCTTAGTGAAGTTGAAGTCGACGCTTTTGTGAATAAAAAGACTAAAACGCCCTGATGTCATATCATTATCGTAAACTTAATAGTCAGACGTTAAATCGTTTCGATTCAACAATCGTATCGGGATTATATACACCGCGCGCACGATTTTTATCAAATTCGTAACGTTTTGTTAGAATCGCCATTATGCTATAGATCTGTTTTAATTCGAGCCGAGATGTTCGATGCTGAAGGTGTCTCTAATGAATAAATATCAAAGGTATTTATAGACTTAAGTAAATGTCGCATTTGTTCTGTCCTCTCTTCGAGAGAAATAGGATGCAAACGGGAGAGTGCAACGAGCGTAACTAATAAGGGCAATCTTCCTACGTTATGTGTACTCTCCTATCCTGTTCCATGTATCTGTTAATTTACATGCAGATATCTGCTCGCCTAATCCTTACATTGGTGTACAAGTCCATCCTGATCATCGCCTGCAGACTGCAGAGCAATTCCCCTTTCGTTCCCCCATCCTGATCCATCAATCGCGATCTCTCCATTCCGCGGCGTTGACGCCGCTCATAACGATAATTATCGGTCCCCACTAAAGGGGAGCGGTATCGATCGGCCCGCATTCGGACAATCGACATGATTTACGGTACATTAGAGGATTTTTTTTTGGTCCGTGTTATTCAGCGTACTGTTTTAGCCGATTTTACCGCGTTTCGAGATGTCAAATTGACATATACCATTTAAGAGCGATAAGAATTGACGAGCGGTCGACAAAATTAATTTGGAGCACACTGGTTAGAGATATAAGTGGGCTTAAATTGTACGGGGATTATGACGTTCCCTCAATTTGGAGTCTTATTTTCTAGATGGAAGCGCTTAGAGTGATGTCACGAAAGTATACAAAAACGAAGGCTTTCAAATCTAGAAAAGATAAATGAGATAATCATAAATGTCTTCAGGCTAAAGTAAATTTATATTTCAAATGTAGAATGCCGTTTCATTTTTAAACTTATGCACAGGTAAATAATAATAATTAATTGCTATGCAAAGATAAGTAATAATTATTAATACAAATTATTCATTCAAATTATCGAATTTTCCACTCTTTACGGCTTAGTTAAGTACGTCAATTATGCATGTCAACTATGTTTATGTTAACTTAAGCACGTTAAAGATATGGAAACGTTAAGTTAAACTGAACTTGAAATACTCAGCAATCTCGGATGTTTCTCTAAAGGGATCACCTTCGCTTTCGTCATCTCTTTCGTGTCATTCCTCGGCTCAAGTCCGTGAGCGCGCGCTACGGACTACGGATTAAAATTCACCTTTCATGAAAGCTGAAAGCTCGAACGTACTTTCCACCACGTGATCGGTCATTTTCCTCTCATAGACCGCCGGCACTTCACCGGTTACTTCCTCCCTCGATTCACGCACCCTCACGCACAAATACACTTTTTTCCTTTTTCCCTCGTGGTACAGATCCACAAATCCCGGCACGTGTAAAACAAAACTGGCTGTGGATCCTGGGTAATCCCAGAACTCGCCGTTTTCACCGAACGAATGCGACGTTCAGGGAGGTTTTCTCGCGAGTCTGTATTTATATATAGCCAATAAACTCGACGTGGGACTCGACACACGTCCTGCTCCGAACGCAGTCGACAGCGAACTGGCTCGCCTCGTGTTACTCTCGACTCCGTTTCATGCTCTTACGTGTGCGAGGGAGGCTCGACTGGTCCGTGTGTTCCATTCCACCACCACCACCACCACCACCAGCTTTTACCGCCGCCACTAGTAACGTCGTTGCTACCACCACCACTATCGCGACCACCACCACTCCGGCAACACTACCACCACTACCATCGCTATCAGTACCAGCAATACTAGTAGTACTACTGAACTACTACCGTCTGTACTACTACCACTATCAGCAACACCGGCGACCTGACGTCGCCGCGGATACGGCCTCCCTCTCACCCATAAGCTTTGTCGATTCGAAACGTGGCATACGAGAATATACGATGGTGGGGGATCCATCGCGCCGGAAAAGATCCTGTGACAGAGAACGGCACGGCGTTGGCGTTCGGCGTTGGCGTTGGCGCCAATGATAGTGGTGGTATGTGTTGCTCCATTCTGATGCTAGGCGCGTCGCAGCTTATGACAATAATAGTAAGAGTATTAGTCTGCGCCCACTAGTTTACTCGGATATAGATGATAGCAATAGTGAATGGCTCATAGTACGATGTCTCTTAGGCTTGATTCCTAACATCGTTAAGACGTAATGGTTTTAACGATTCTAAATGATCCCTATTGATTCTTGATCACTCAATGATTCTCGATGCGACGTTGGTGTCCGATGTTGGCGCCGCCGATCGCGGCGATGTCGCCGTCCACTAGTATTGGTAACCATCGAGAGATGTTAGACGACGCAGCGCGTTGGCGTCGGTGGTGGCGATGGCCACAGGGGAAGAGGGGGAAGAGGAGAAGTGCACGCATTGTTGGCGGCGGAGTCAGCGGGGGCCGACAGAGCGGCGCCAGCAGGCTGAGAGTTTAGCTCACAGTTCCTCTGTACCACACTCGCTTGTTCCTTCTCTTTCTCCCTACGCCTGTCCCCTCGCTCGTTCTCCTTCCCCAGTCTCCGCTGACCCTACGGTTCTCCTCTCTACATTCGTCTCTCTTTCGTCGTGCCTTATAGCCGCTCTGCCCACCCACCAGTGGTAGCGCTCTCGAATGTGCGAGTGTGCGTGTTTGCGTGTGTATGCGTGCGGAGATGCCGCGGGCGGCCAGGAATCGCGAGTTTATGGGACTCACTGACCACCGCAGGAGTCTTTTCCCCCGGGTCTTCGAGACGGAGGCCGTTTACCGGCGTTGATCTCCGGGAGATTCGACCTCCGAATTTTTGTTCCTTTTACCGCCCCCTCGCGCTTCTGACCATCCTTGCCCTTTCCCCTCCTCTTCGTCGTGTCCACCGCTGTCCACGGCGGACGCAAGCAGACCCGGTGCAACGCGCTCCTGTCTTCCTGAAAGAATGTTCTTGCTACGCCAAAACCATGGGAAACACCCGCGGGCGTATTGCGCACGGGCGGGTATTAGGGGTACTTCTCCTCGGGGGCGGTAGCGAAGCGACCATATAATGTTCACCGCCGACCCATCGCCGCTCTGCCGAATCATAAATATACTTGTGATGGATCTGTGCGAACGACAATTCTCGTTATGACGAAGTAATCGCAGAACAAAATCGAAATTTGATATAAAAGAAAGCTAGGTGTGCCAATAAATGTATAGTTATCAGTAAATGACATTGAATTTTCATTCATTTAGAAATGTAATTAGAAAATATTTACAATAAGTGGTTTAAACTTTGTACGTAAAATTATTGATATAATAAGTAGCAAAGATTATAATAGGGAGTACGAGAGAAAAAGACTAAATAAAAGAAAAAGCATATACAGAGACATTTTTATTAAATCTGTAGACATACATGAGTTATCAAAAGAATACGAACAATATTTATAATTTTTTCGAAGTTTCAAATTATTTTATCAATTTTCTAAATTACTGTTTATTTATATTTTTCAATATTTTTTAATTGTTAGATGTTTATGAATTAAAATAATTATCACATCGTGTGAGCAACATTTTGTTCACATGCAACTGGATTGCAGACTGTTAACACATGTATACGTTTCTCTTTTCCATATTTTCGAAATATGGAACTTTATTGCGCCACAAATGGTTTTAAACATGTTCATCACATGTATACTTCAGGATTCGGTGAGCGGAAGATAATAGCTATTCCTTTCATTATTTTGCCGATTTTATGATTCTGAAAACATTTCAATAGCTCTATACTTGATATGTGACTACGCGGTCGTGTGGTCACCATCTGTAGACACAGCTGTATGTTCTCCATTCGAGAATCTACAAATCCATATGGCCAATCTGCTAGGATTAGCGCGTTTTGCGTTGTAAGAGCCGGAATTACCGTCTACCAGCTTTGTTTAATTCGTGCGCTAAACGAAATCTGCATTAAGTCTGCATTTTTCTTTAACCTGCAGTTTAATTTACAATTTTTCATGCAGTTATAACTTTCGTCAACGAGATTGAGATGAAGGAGAGCCTCGTCAACAGAAAAAAATTCATTCGTGATCTTTTAATTTCATCGTCTTTGCAATTCTGTCAGAGAAACTCGAACACATGTTCGCATATTGCGGGCCGCATTTTCGTTGCAACGAGTCCCGCGTTTCGTCTCGGCAAGTCGGACTTGTCAAACCAGAAATTGGCCGCGCATCAGCGTAACTGATCAAGGCCATCCGGGACTTTTTATTTAATCGCGTGATTATTTTCCCACGCTTTTAACTGATTTTTTTGTTCGATTAGTTATAATGTGCTTGAAAGCTGCGAATACTTCTCTATAGCAAACAAGATAAATAATTCGCTTTATTGCTATCTTCTTCTCGTTAACGAAATTTAATAATATAAGACTTGAAAGAGAAATATTATTATAGTGAATTTCTGGATACATAAATCGTATAAAATATAAGTACGAATGTGATTCAATATAAAGAATTTGTCAAAGAAAATAAGATTTTAAGACAAGTAATACATTCTTATACCTATATTTTTATACGATTAGGTAAATGTTAGGATTCTAATCGTTAGTCAGTACATTTATCAGTAATTCTTATAATCCTTAATATTCTTAATATGCTTTCTCTTAATAACTAGAATATTTTTTGGACTAAAATATTTTTAAAATTGAAGTTATGCATGTACATAGAAATGGTTGAGGAGAAACAAACTGTCACTTACCTATTTATAGTAAGCTATCTCTCTATTATTGTGAGCGTGTGATTACCTATAATCGCGGAAAATTTAAAAGAATAAAAATAATCGCAATTTAGAAGAATTCGAAAAATGAGAGGAACGCGATTCCATCTTTGACTCAAAATTTGTAGGTAATCATCGATAAACGGTTTTTCTCGAAATAAACGAGTTGGCACATTCTCTTGCGAAACGAATTGCTCGGCTTTATGACATCGTTCTTCTGACACTGATCTTTTTTTTCAGAGCTTTTGGCCGTTTCAACTTACTGCATTTTCGGTTTCCGGAATCTACTAATCGGAGAGGTTTCTGGAGAGGTTTCCTGTCTACTTCTGTGAGTAACAAGCACCGACAACGTCTTGGCATAGAAATCAAAGAATAAAGGAATGCACCTGCGCTTCACGAACGACACTTGGATGCATTCTAGTGATAATCTTAAGTATGATTCACTGCATTCCTTTTTCTTTTTACTATGCCTTGGAATTGGTCGGAGCCACTTTCGAACGATAAATTTTAAAACACGCACAGAAAATTTCGTACAATCTTGATTACATAATTCCAAGCTTTATATGCAATTACATTTCACGAGAAAATTAAAATTATCAACACAAATATATATCTGTTGTAAATAAATTAAGTAAATATAGATTTAAATTTTGCATGTAAATTACGGTATTTAATTTAAAAGTAAATATATATAACATATTGTTTTGCTTCTCGTTGCTCTAGGGCATGACTCACGAAACGTGAGAATTTTCAACGAAAATATTATTGTTACACGGCTTCTATAAACAGAGTGTAATCTGTGATATTCTCAGGATTCGATTATTTCAATGAAGATTTCTTTCGATAAAGTATGTTAATCGAGATAAGAGTCTTCGCGTCACCTGTCGATTAAAAGTTTTATCGAGAATTCTATCATTATCAACTTACTTTTGAGTTACTTTATCAATGATTAAATTGTATATATCTTAAAGTAAAGACGGGTGGTCTGATAGCAGACTTGAATATTTTCATCATATATACCTAACATCATATATACCTATGTTCTGGATTGTTATATTATTGAACATCAATTTTATATTATGAGATTTATATTCTCAAAGTTCAAATTTATTTTTATAGATAAAGAAAAATTTATTACGTGTTGGTATCTTAAATTAAGATACGTCAATGAAGATAATTATCTTTGTCGATTCATTGTTTTTATCGAGAAATTGGTTAATCCACCGATCGTACCATTCTTGCGAATTCGCTGATAACCTCGTGGTCTGATATTTTCCATAACAAACAAACGGATCTTGTCAAACATTTCACTCTTTCGCGGTGTATTTATAGCGCGTTGTAAAAAGCTCTCGAATCGCGGCGAATATCGGTCGCGCACGCGAGAAAAAGAGAGCATTAATGACTGTTATTTTGACCGGCAATTTCGCGCGCAATTGCACGAGTCAACTCGCGAAACAGACACGCCCGTACTGAACACGGGCGTCGCCTTTCAATTCGGATTCAAAAAGCAACCTCGGCGCCGATCTCTCATTTCCTTTCGCTCGTAATTTGCACAAGTTTCAATAAAAAGAATTTGTAATCCTCAGAAAAACATAATTTAAAAAATTTTATAATTGAATTATAAAAATTAAAATTAAAAGTTACATATCTGCAGAACATAAATAGCTAAGCCATTTACGATTTATAATATTTTGTGTCTTACTAATTATTAATTAATTTTTTATTAACTAATTAATTATTTTACACTTTTTCTTATAATTTTTATCAACTGATTGAATCTGGAATGATAATTATGTGTATTGACTTGAATATATTTGAAGACTTGAAATTACCTATTTAATCACGATTTAGATCATCGTGTGATAATTATCATCCTTAAAGATACCACTGTGAAAGATAACAGCAACAGCTTTTTCGCTCCCTCAATCTCGGCACCGCGAGCATCCTCGTAATAATAGTAACGCTCCACTCGGGAGCGGAAGTCAGACGACAGCTGGTGATTGCGAGGGAGGATACCGGGGGCGGGGGAGGAGGAGACGGCGAAGATGGTCGCGTTAAAGGCGAGTGGTGCACTAACTCGGGGAATGCCATGTAATTTACGTTAACAGTTAACACGCGAACGCGCGACGGGAGGTGGCCTTTATCTTTCCTCGCGACACGTCACTTTTGGTGCGTCGAACAAGATATAGTATTAATCCCATATATGGGTCCCGGAGGGAGAGGGAGACCGTATTATATTTTTTATCAGTCCATATTGCGTTTTAGCTGGTGTTCTACTACGCGAAAGTTAGTCCGGGTTGCTGCAATAAACAAATACTTTATTCAATATACGCGCGCGTATCGGTAAAAATTTCAATATATAAAATATTTGATAAAATACATAAATAAAAATAACGTAATATTCGACATGAACGGATGAATATTTATATGGCGGATTTGAATTTATTCTTGCAGAATAAACCGCGCTTGCCACGTAAAACATTTCCATATTAATGATCAATAATATTCGAATGATGGGAAGCAAACGCCGGCACCGAAAATATGCCGCGTCGAGTGACACGAATCTTCGTCGAACACGCGTTTCCAACGGGAAGCCACCGCTTGTCGATTTCGCGCGATTCACGCGCGAGATCGATTTTTCCGCAGAATCAGCGTCGGTCTCGCTCTTATCGCGCGAATTTCTTTTTATACGACCGCGCGCGATAAAAGCTTACACTGCGAGGCGCGCGCGTGACGCGTTAAACGCATCCGATACGCATTACGCGATAACCGACATACGACCGAGTGCGTATCAGATCGGGATACGAGTGCTCGCGTACTCGCGCACGAGTGCACGCACGCGAGCCGGATAACGATCTTTTCTCATCGTCATCGTATCCGCGGTGTCGCTTAATCTGTCCTTAGACCGAGAACGATCCGGTTCGGTAAAGACCGGAGAAACGTTATCGTGACGATTGTTTGCGCTCCGTTATTATCGTCATCGCAAATCGCTTGAAGAGGATGTTTTGGTCTTCCGCGGCAAATGTTGAACAACAATATTTTATATACGATTATTATATTATATATAGACCATTTCTTATTATTATTCTGAAGATATGCAACAATTCTGCATGTCTTCAGAAAAAATATTGTAAATATTTATAAATGTTTATTATATTGTAAAGTTTCATATTTACAATTGTAAAGGTATTTATAAAAAATTCTAGGTATAAGCAGAATTTTTTAAATAAGTTCTGCTTCTATTCTAATGTAATTAACATGTCTACAGATGGATAACGTTATAATACGATTATGCGAAAAATGTGCTGGAGCAAAAAATGACGTTCCATAAGTTTCTCGAAGTGTCTTTATTTAATATATTAACGTTTATTTATTTCAATCGCTTGTAGAGAAAGGACAAAATTGTCGACTTCGCTGTTTCTGTGTCGAGTCTTTTTCTGTAAGAGGAAAAAATATCCCGTATTCGAGAACACTGGGTTTGTTTTAAGGGGTTTTCCCTTTCCCAGATGAGTAGCGCGACGAAGTGAAAGAAATCACTGTTAACGGACGCACAAGATGCGCTGCGCCTGCTCGTGTCGTTTTTAGAGTTGTGTGTGCTTGTACTCGATACCTCACGGCTTCACTCTATCCCATTATCCCCGTTCTCAACTATTTTTCTCAAGTCTCGTCAAACATCCTGAGACTGTTTCTCGAGAAAATCTCGCGAGCAAAGATTTCAGAACATTAAAAATTATAGATTAAATCCGATATTTTAGAATCCATTACATTCTACTTTAATATTCCTAATTGACGGGATAGAAATTTATTTAATGTCCTGCGAGATAATATTTGTTCTTTAATGTTTGTGTCGCGAGATTATAAATTCGCGACGCGTTATAAATTATTTAGAAAATTTTGAGTAATATTCGCAAATTCTTTATATTACTGTTATATTTTTTAAAAGAGATTGTTTTATTATAAACTTAAAAACACGCTAATAATTGATTATTCTTAAAATTAAATATTTTTTTAGATTTAGAATTATTTTAGATTTTTATATTTCAGAGAAAATAGAAAAATATTAATACATATATGATAAATATATGACACACATGCGCGATAAAGACTATATTTTTCTTAAAAGGGACATTTCTCTGAATGTTGTGAGACACACTGCATAAAATTCTACTTTAGGTAATTTATTGTCAGAGGCGAGAACTGCTTGACTAATTGAGAAAAGTTTACCAACAATAACCAGAACACATAGGTATACAGTAATTGTTCCCTGACAAATAATGGGGCAGAATACGGGGACAATTGAAGCATGTCACGCGTGAAAAGCCTTGGCCTATCGATTTTCCAGATTTAACAAACCAAGACAACACATGTGACACATCCGCTAATATTTAACGTGTTATCTCTTACGCATTCACGCTTATCTCGTCAGTTCATTGATTCACACGGCTTCGGGAATATCGTAGTTCTCGATATTCCCGTTAAAACTAATAGTAGAAGATGAAAAATAAATGGAAAATAATATATAATCTATTTATTGTATAAAACATGATGTGAGTTTTTAAAAATCTCGTAATATATTAACGTTTCAGTATTTATTATATTAAAAATTTTATTACCTTACGCTAATATAAATATTTTGTCGCATTTTTTTATATTGCAATATTTTATTAATATATATTTTATATATAATCGCGATTTCAAAGCAAAGATCATTAAATCTCATTATTATGTTATATTACTCGAATAATATAGCTAAAAAACTTTAAAATCTTTTTTATATCTAATCTATGTAATATTAATTTCTCTCTCTCTCTCTCTCTCTCCCTCTCTTTTTTTGATGATATCCTTGGCAATTAGGAGTCGATTGGATAGTGGTACCGATACTAATTGACCGTGGCAGTTTTTCGATAATGAGGATCGCGTACATGACCTACCTACGAGCTAATCGACCAATCGACTCGGCGTGACAGAGGGTCGTTAGCGCGTCATCGCGCGGAAGTCCAGCCCCGACCCGGCCCCATATAGAGTCACGTCGCGGTGCCTTATGGCGTAGCCGGCAGCCGCAGCGGGGTGTCGTTCTATATTTACGGTGACGGTAACATAACGATGCGTGCGTGAATACGTGCGCGCGTGCGTGCATGTATGCATTTGTGCATACGTGCGTGCGTTCACCCCGCGAAAGTAATCGTGGCGCGAGCGCGACACACGCTTCCTGCATTTGCCTATATCGCTTCCTTTTGGTACAGCCCTATATCGCTTATTTATACGAGAGCCATTATCCTCCTACTTCCGAAGAGATCGAGCTTTCCCGATCTCTCCGGTAGATCTTAC